TGGATTTTCAGTGGTAGGCATGTCGTTTTGAGGCCTCAAATCAGAGGGGGGTGATCCCCTCTCTTCTTGTTTTGTTTGCTTGTATTTTTGGCCTATCAAAGGAGTATGCATCTTCATACTTTCAGGGCTTGGTTCAGGCACTTTTTCATGACTTTTAGGGCCTGCCTTAGCTCTGTCTATGGCTGGTTTGGCCACCTTGTGTTTGCTTCTTGTATGTGTAGTGTATTCCCATTTGTGGCTCATCAAAGTAGCATGTCTTTCTAGCATGTATTGGCTCCATTTCAGTAGATTTTTGGCCATCATTTGACATGTCATGACTCTGTTTTTGGCTGGTTTGGTAGCCTCTTGTATGCTCCATATGCTTGTAGTGTAAATCTTGTTTACTAGCTTTGTATGCATGATGTTTTGGCTCATTATCTTAGCATATTTTGGCTATGTTCTAGCATGATTTTGTTCTTATTTGGGGATGCCTTAGCTTTGTTTTAAGGTTTCTTGGTCGATTGAGGCTTGTCATGCATGCTTGTAGTGTAATAGCCTTGACTAGCTTTGAGTTTTGAAGTCTCTTGCATGCTTAACCTGAGGTATTTGCATCTTTTGGCATCATTGAGAATGATATTTCAGAGCATGTAGGGCTGTTATATTTCAATATTTTCCGCTCTTTAAGTGCTCTTGAGGGTTGTGCTTTTTGTGCCCTATTTGTGAGCCATTGCATGAGCCTCATTTTCGCGCCTTTCAAGCCATCATCCCAACTCATTAATGCTACTGTTTTGGCCTGCATAGGGTTTGTTTGGGATTAGTTTAGCCATTTGAGCATTATCTTGCATGCCTCTAGTGTAATCCACTTCACTAGCTTTGACGCTGGAGCCTTTCAACATGCATTACATGGGTTGTTGGCATGATGCTAAGTCATTTTGCATGCCATTTCAATGCTGGAACATATGCCATTGTACCCCATGTTTCATCTTTTCAATGCTTTTGGAGAGTTGTGTTTTGAGCCATAAGCTTGGGCCGATATGCATGCATGTTTGTATAGCATTTTGGGTTTCTATCTTAGCATGTATAGCCACTGATTTGGACATGGCTGAGGTCTATCCATTTTGGTTTAAGTTCATTGCGCATTGAGTATGCCATGTGGTTCATAGCATTGAGAATGCCATGTTGTTGCATGATTGATTATTGCATTTGTGCATGCCATGTCCATTGCCTAGCGTATGCTAGTTACCATGTGCATTGTGTACACTAGTTGTCATGAGCATTGTGTATGTCATGTAGTTCATAGCATTGTGTATACTAGTATGTTAGTTGCATGCTTTCATGCTTGTTCCTTGCATCGTGTTCATATGCTTGTTTCATTGCATTGAATGTTTGCATGCTTGAGCCGCATTGCGAATGTCATGCCATGTTATTTGTTGCATTGTGTTTGGAATAGGAGTTAGTCCAAACACGGGAAACGAGGGACGTTTCATACTCGAAGTGATGAAACGTGCCTCAATTCTCGGTCGCCGACACTCTTGCCTATATATGATGGAGTTTTAAGCTTTATGTGTTTGTGTGTGCATTCATTTCATATTGAGTTGTGCAATTTGGCTCCTCGGCCATCATGCACCGAGATGCGTGATTGGTGGCCCGAGGGTCGAGAACCACCCCCCTTAAGCTTATGTAATGAGAGGGAAGGTGGTTGTGCATACATGTGTTGCAAATACTTTGCCATACCCCTTTCTTGCTCTCTGTTGCAGCAAACTAAAGTCTGACAGCAGAAACTGGTCGGCTGACCAGATAAAGTGGTTGGCCGACCACTTTTTTTTTCTGGTTTTCAGCACAGAAAGTGGTCGGCAGGTGGCCTCCAATGCCAACAACTGGTCGGCATCCCTCCTACAGATTCCCTTGATGGAGTTTCATCCTTATGGAACTTTTTGCAGTCTTCTGAGACCAGTTGCAAACAGAGGCAAATTGGGGCATCGTGATGGATTTTCGCACGAGATGACCGGGCACGCATCCTTCGTCATCCAAGGCAGATTGGAGGCAGCCTATTTCATATAGTTTACATGCTTATTCAATTGCTAACTTAGTTTATTTGTTAATTAATTAGAGTTGTGTAATAATTAGCTGTAGCTTGTTATTCATTCTGTTGTGTAATAACTAGTTTAATTAGATTAGCTTAGATTAGCTAGGTTATTCTGTATTATTCATTCGGACCCTCTGTCGAGAGGGCACAACTGTTGTAAATAAGTGTGCATGTGTGTGATGCATGTCTTCCAACCCCCATTTCTTTCTCCCTTTTATTTACTAGCTTACGATGGTTAGTTTTAGGGCATGTTTCAATTAGCATCCTTATGCTCGCATGTTTGTATCCATTCATCTGTCTGGCATGCACCGTGCTCGGCGCATCATACTAACTGCATTGTATTTCAATTCCTGTTTGAATACATGTATCAAATTGCATTTCACATGACATTTTAGAATAGCCGAGCCTATCTTAGTTGCATTTTGTATGTGTTGCATTAGGAATTCTTGACATAGCTAGGATCATGCATTGATTTCTAACATAGCTTTTGTTTTGGCTCGGAGGTATCCTGCCATCAACATACCCCATCTTCCCTTTACTCTTCAAAAATATAGTCAAACTCTGCGACCATACTAGATAGTTCTAACCATTACATAAAGAGGTGGTGATTTTAAGACTAGTGTTGGGATTATAAGTCATAATAGTAGGTATAATGGAACTCTCACTTCGAGGTGTCTAAGAAGTAGTGGACACTGGTGGAATTTGCCATAGATACTGTACTGACCGAGGCACACTCATAGAAAAACACATGCACCGAGCCATGTCAAAAAGATGACGATTCTTGCGTTCCGCTACCGCATTTTGTTGATGGGTATTGGTGCAAGAGCTTTGATGGATAATGCCATGGGCAGAAAAATATTGCCCTAACCCAGAATCTATTTATTCTCCCCCATTATCAGAACAAAAGATTTTGAGAGAGGCCCCAAACTGAGTACAAATCATCTTATGAAAATTGTGGAACACAGAGAAAACCTCACTCTTGTCTTTCATGAGATACACCCAAGTAGTACGAGAAAAATCATCAATAAATGTAACAAACCATCGATGACCTTTCACAGACATAACACGAGATGAACCCCAGACATCAAAATGTAGTAATGAAAAAGGAACTAAACTTTTATTAAAACTGGGAGCAAAAGAAGCTCTGTGTTGTTTTCCAAGTTGACAAGACTCACAAAGAAACTCAGACACATTATTGTCTGCAAAAACAGATGGAAATAAATGCTTAAGTAATAGAAGGAAAGATGCCCAAGACGCCAATGCCACAGCCATAAATCCTCTTTGATATTTGAACTCGTGGAGGAAGAATGAGCAAGCTTGTCAAGTTGATCTAGGAAGTAGAGACTATTTTCTGTACTACCACTGCCAATCGTCCTCCTTGTGACAAGATCCTGAAAAAGACGATGATCAAGAAAAAAAGTCACACTACAATTCAAATCCTTTGTAAGACAACTCAAGGATATCAGGTTAACAGAAAAATTGGGAACATGGAGAACAGAAGATAGAGGGATGGTAGGAGTGACATTGACTAAACTTTTCTTAGAAATAGAAGAAACAATACCATCTGCAATCCTAACTTTGTCCTGACCTGAAGAGGGCTTATAGGCAGAGAAAAGATCAGAGAACCCACATATATGATCTGAGACACCAAAATCAATAATCCAGGACAAAGACTTATGAGAAAGGAAAACACGAGGAGAATAGGCTAAGTTATTTGATCGGGCAAATGACAAGGAAGATGTACTGAGAGCAATAGAATACCGACGGTCCAACAAGTGATGCAGAACATCCTCAAGCTCATGAGTAGTCATGCCAGAAAGACCATCAGAAGCCTGGCCAACGGAAACAGAAGTAGAATCAAGTTTATCAACGACACTAGATTGATGAGCCCGTGGATGAGAGCCACGTCCTCTAGACTGGCCGACTGACCTCCTCTAGAACCAGACCGATCACCTCCATCCCCGGATGGAGTCCCATGAAGCTTCCAACACGTCTCACGAGTATGCCCCGACTTGAGACAATAATCGCAGAATACAGACTCCTTGGCAGCAAACGGAGAGATGGGAGTCAGACTGAGGCCATCTCTAGGGGCAAACAGTAATGCTAAGCAGTCAGTAGAGACAGGTGACATCATAGCAGACCGGCGACTCTCCTTATTTTGTACATAGGCAAATGCCTCCTAAAGTGAAGGAAGAGTGTCCATACTCAAAATCTGACTCCGAACCGGATCATACTAAACATTGAGCCCTGCCAGAAACTTGAAGACCCATTCTTGTGCAATGAACTTCCTGTACCCGACTAAATCAATAGTGCAAATAGGCTTATAGTCCTGCAGGTGATCAAGGCGTTTCCAGCTGTTGGTGAGGAAGTTGAAGTACTGAAGAACCGTCTGCTCCCCCTGAACAGAACTCTCAATAGAATGGTGCAACTTAAATGCCTGTGAGAAATTCCCTTTGCGACAATAGGTGGCAGCCACAACATCCCAAATATCCTAGGCAGTCTCCATAGACAAGTAACTCACTAATTTTTGGAATCAGCGAATGAATAAGCTAACTCATGATCAAAGAGTTGATAACCTCCTATTGGTCATAACCTTGGCCAGTGGTGCTGGGTGCCTGTATCCTGCCATCAACATACCCCATCTTCCCTTTACTCTTCAAAAATATAGTCAAACTCTGCGACCATACTAGATAGTTCTAACCATTACATAAAGAGGTGGTGATTTTAAGACTAGTGTTGGGATTATAAGTCATAATAGTAGGTATAATGGAACTCTCACTTCGAGGTGTCTAAGAAGTAGTACACACTGGTGGAATTTGCCATAGATACTGTACTAGCAAACCCTTAACAAAACTAGTGCAAATCACAAATCCGGAAGGTGGAGGAATACAAGCACAATAGTAACTAGAAAAACATAAAAAATTAAGACTCCAGGTTTTTTTTTTTTTTTTTTTTTTTTAAGATTTAGGTCAAAGTTGTTTAACCAAACATTACAGACGGTAGAGTGTGTTTAAGGAACAAACATTACAAACGGTAGAGAGTGTGGGTGGTGTAGTCGGTTATTACACTGGGCTAACAGAGGCTGACCGACAGAGGCAAAAGGCTAAGGAAAGCCTCTTGACAGGGGCCAAGGAGGCCAGAGGGGCTACCGACAGGCCCCTAGAAGGGCCAAGAGACTGTCGTCCAAGCCTAACAGGCTGTTGGGGAGCCCAGGAGGAGATCCAAGACCTAGGCAAGGAGTTCAGAGCTTTAGGTCGACTATAGGTGGCTGGGTGAGGGGCCGATTAGACTGTAGGAGAGAAAAGACTGCTAACAAGTGCGAAAGGGACTGCTAGCTAGGGTTTTGGCTCTGACACCATGTAACTTTAGAGAGAAAAAGGTTATGGTATGATTGTGATATCATCTCCTTTTTATATTAATGAAGATTAATAATTACAAAAAAGCCCTAAGACATAATAATTACAACAAAATAATAACCCAACTAATAATATATTATTCTAATAGTAATTAGGAGGATCAATTTGAGAAGTAGAAATGAAGGATGACAAAAAGAAGGAAAAAGGATACAAATATGATCATGGAGGTTTAGAAACACAATTCAGCCATCTTAGGACTAACTAGTGGAATGCTTTCAACGTGCACCATAAAAGGCATATAGTAGAGAGTGTCCCTAAAAGTGGCATGAAAAATAAAGGAAAGATGAAGTCAATAAGAAGATTGTCCCTTTGGTGTATTAATAAGATACCATAACGCATTCTATTAAATATCTACGCACACAAATGCTATAAATAACACCAAACACAAGTGCTATATAAGTATTAAACTTTTCTTTTATAAGCAAAAAATTATTCTAACAGGCACCAAGTAGTGCACAACCCATATACAAAAGAAAACTATATCAACTATACACCAAAAACCTCTTCAAAGGTCTCTACAAAATCCAGATATAAGTTCAAAGATGAGCTAACCACCTGCAAAAATCAACTATACAAGAAAGACAACAAAAGGCTTTTAATTTTAAAAATGAGGCATCTCAATACCATCAAATGATCTTCTATTCCGTTCTCCCAAAAGTAACCACAAAATAGAGAATGGAGCCAGGACCCAAGCCACCTAGCCATCACTCAAAAGAAAAGAGAAGCTCCTTCGCCTTCTCCAATAACACCCAACCCAAGTAACCCCAAACAAAAGGAGAACCAAAGGAAGACAAAAGAAAAGTCGTATGTCAACAATTCTTTTATATTTTAAAATCAAAAGGATTTAGAACAAAAAATAAATGACCAAAAATTCATTGCAACCAAAGCTTACATAAGGAAAAAGATACCTTGAAGTCATGACTGTCATCCAGCTCATCGAAAATTAACTCAAAATCTTCTCGTGATATTCTGGGCAATGTTCTGCATATATTATAATGAAAGTTACACCTCAATATCAAACAGATCAAGTCACAAAGTAGTAATACTTGTTGTACAGCTATGAAAGATGTATTTGAACAAGAACATTAACCAGGTAAGGAGTCAACCTGATGTGCGATGTAGAGGGGGAAAAAAAGAAGCGGGAGGAAACACAGAGACCACAACCTTAATCAACTCAAAATTTCATTTATCTAACTTTGAATAATACAATGCACTCTCAACTCTTCGGGGGTCTTCTCATGCAAATCTTTGTTTGATAAGCTCATTGATGTGTCCTACGTTCCTTCATTTCCATTTCATAAGAAAATTTGGAAGGCCTTTGTTCCTCATAAGGTGAAGTTCTTCATGTGGTCCTTGGCTCAAGGAAGAAATATGACCAATGATCTATTCCAAAGGAGAAGACCTAATCACTTTTGTTGTCCACAATGGTGTATAACGTATAAGAAATGCAGAGTCGGCAAACCATTTATTTCTTCACTGCCCCGTGGCTATTTCTCTATGGCAGCGTCTTTTTAGGCTTTGCAATTTACAGTGAGCAGCCCCGAAAGAATGCTCGCATATGCTGTTAATTAATTTTGGTGGCTTTGGTGTAAATAGAAGAGCCAAGTCACCGTGGTCCTGCACTGTTTTCGCCATCTTCTGGACTATTTGGTTCGAGTGGAATGCTCACATTTTTTAGGATAAGAGAACGGATGAAGTTTCATTGTGGGAGAAGGCGTGTCATTTAATTTAGCTTCGTTTTGGGCTTATTTGTCTTCCCCATTCATAGGGATTCCACTCTTTTTGTTTTCTTTTGAATGGGGAGCAGTTTGTCAGTCTTAGTCTTAGGGATGTTTTTTTTCTGTTCTGTTAGTTTGGTTTCATCTCTGTTTGAGGACATCTTGTCTTCCCTTTGTTATTGCTTTTTTCCTTATTAATAAAATTTCTTTGGTTGCTTCTCAGAAATAATAATAATAATAATACAATGCACTCTTATTTATAGGTTAATACCCTAATTAAAATAGGAAACTAAAATCCTAATATTAATAGGAAATGTAATTGTATTAGGAAAGAAATATCAAAATATCATAAATAAATATTTATTTAGATTAATAATAGTAATCATCTATCAAGCACATTTATTTGACCAAAAAGTCTTCTTCACATGTAATGAACCCTTGGGTTTACTCAATGCTTCCAAAGTAAATAATTGCCCTCTAAACCAGTCAAGAGTTGCACTACCAATTCTCCTCCACTGAAACGAAGTCAACTTTGGAGAGTTAAGAACACTTTTTAAAAATCCCATTTGAAGAAGGAACACGCCGAATCAACAAATATTTTTTTTTCCAATTTAACGGCTCTGGAATCGGGTGTACTTTGTTAAGCCATCAATGAATAAGTGTTGGCATGTCCAGCATGGATGACATCACGGTCCCAAATCCATGTGCATCCCAAGAGTATGACACAGTTTGTGAGATAGAACCTCACACAATACTGTCTCTATTAGCTAGCCAATTGCATGTCATGAGGCACAACTTTTATCGACCCTAAGCATGGTATTATTTTTCCAGGCCGCATGATAAGGCTCGGGATGTGGCCCAACTTTCAAACCAGTTTCTTTACAGCTTCTGCGGAAACAACATTAGTGAGCACACTTGATCAACACAGTTTACTCTCATATGAATTTTTTTTAATTTCTTTGGAGCTTCTCGAGTTCCTTTATACCTTGTCTATTAGCACCAAAGAAATGATGAATAATGGCCAATCACATCATCAAGGAGATTGCCATTGAATCCGGGATCAACTACTTACACGTCAATCCTTGGATTCTTTTGTATCTACGGTGCCATCATGTTCAACTACAATTGACTTACTAGGCACATTAATTTTATTAGAAGGGCCATCCCGAGCATGATGTCCAAACCCTTGACAATAAAACATTTGGAATTAATATTAACTTCATACGAAGAATGAGAAGGAGCATGAATAGAATGGGGAGACCTGTCAAGGAGTTTGCCACCACTGGGATCCACAAGAGTCTTTTCACTCCTTGCCAGGGTGTCCACTGGAGTGCGTATGGGAGTCTTCCTCATGGTAAAGTCTTCTAGCAGCCAATCCACAAGAGACTTACGACTTTAATCCCTGGTGATAGATACATAGAGATCACTACATCCTAATTCTATGGGAACTTGGACTTGGTAGCTAAATTGTAGGGACTTGGTAGCTAAATTGTAGAACCCTCTGTATTATTCACTTGCTTCCTTGCATCAACTGAGTAAACTGCAAGTGGGCTCATTGCTTGTAGCTAGATGGAATGAAGTAAGGATTCACTATGATTTTCATATCTTCCCATGTTGCATGATGCTTCTAATGACATTTAGCCCCCCAAATTCTAGTTGTGCCTTTTAATTTTGCTTCAACTAAAAGTAATTTCCTTTCATTGGCCATTTGGTACCAACAAAAGCAACTCTCCAAACAATGTAGCCAATCAAAGAATATCTGCGAGTCGTGATCCGCATTAAAGTCAGGAATTTCTAGCTTGGCACTCTAGTCTACATCAATTAATCGAGGATCCTCTGATATTCATTGATGATCGTATCCAAAACTTAAGGTGGAGAAACACCACGTGTCCATAGCTTAGACACATGAAACGTATTACAAGTTTGAATAAAATAACTTAGGATCTAATGATAAAAGAAAAGCAATGAATATTTATAAATCGTAATCCATCCTCTTTCAAACTTTAGCAACTTGTGTGATGTATAATTTTATTAATTTTGAATGAAAATTCATATATATGACATAATAAATATGCAAAACCATATATTTTGCATGTGTCCTCCACAATCCTCCACATTTTTCTACAATTTGCAAATTGTCGTGTCACATATTTGTGTCTATGCTTCTTAGGTTCTCATAGACAAGAAGACAACACACTACAAGATCAACCTGATGCGTCAACAAGCACTATGCTGAACCAACCTGTTAATGGACAGCTCCAGTATGATTTAGATCATGTTACCCCAACCAATTAAGTCCTGGGTGGATTGGCAAGTTTGGGTGGCAACACTTGCACTAAGCCTCTAATTCATATATCCAGTTAGCAACAGAATCCCATGGCAAGAAATTAGAAAATACCAAAAATAAAAATTAGAAGGAAAGAGATACTAGACTTATAACATAGCAACATATGATCAATACCTGTATTTATTGAGCTCTTCAAACAGATGGATACATTGCTCTTTGTTAAGATATCCACAATTCTGTTAACACAAAATAGAACACTTCATATATGCAACCCAAAAACACACAAATGCAACCCAAACAAAAAATAAAGAAAACTATTGAACTGTCAAGCTTAAAGAAACTATCAGCATTTCTAATTTACAAGAGTAAAAAAATGCTAAGCAGGAAGTTATAGTTCTAATCAATGACACAAGTATACTTTAATGGGATCCATAAGTCACTTGAATACATGCACAAAAATGAATGATAGATAGACTTCAACTTCAAAAACCAGTTAATACTATCGATTTGAGGATATTTTATGTATCCAACATCTTGGTGTACAGTGTTTTAAAAGGCGCGCTTAGGCGCACAACAAGACACAGCCTTGCGCTTCAAACAGGCCAAGCCAAGGCGCTAAGGCGAGGGCTTTTTCGAGGCGTGAGGCGCGGGCTTCATGGGCTTTACCTATTTTTCTACTCCAACTGTTGATTAAGTGCTTTTTTTTGTGGGCATACCCATAGGGAATCAAAACTCTTCAATATAAAATGACCAAAAGTGGTCAAAAGAGAGCAAAAACTGATTAAAAAAAAAACTAGGTGCAGGAGATTAAAAAAAGCAATCAGAAAGTGAGAAGACGACACGACTTTGGCTTCTTCTTCAAGTTTTTCTCTTCTTCTTCGATCGGTTCTCTTGGTTGGGTTATCTCTCAGCCTCTATTTTTTCTTCCTTTAATTTTCTTATTTTCTTTTCTTGTTTTCTTCTTCTCTTCTTCGATGGGTTCTCTTCGTGGGTCTGCCTTCGTTTTTTCTTCCTTAATTTTTCTTCTCTTCTTCTTTTCTTATTTTATTCTCATCTTTTTTTCTTCTCCTGCTTCTTTGCTGGGTCATCTTTCTGTTTTTTCTTCTCTATTAGCTTGTGAAACTTGCTTTATGATTTTTGGAATTCTATATATATATTTATTATGTTGAAAAGTTTGCCTATTTTATAATTTTTCTTTTCTTCTACTACTTGCACCTCACTTTGGTGAGGCGCGCGCCTTGCCTCGTGCCTCGTGCTTAGGCTATAGGAGACCTCATCGCCTTGGTGCACCTAGAGCCTTCTAAAACACTAGGTGTACCGTGACACTTCAACTGATCTCTCAGAATGTAAAGCTGTTATTTATTGACCTAAGGAAAAAGTCCCAGAGTAATTGACTAGATTGAAATTCCTTGTTGATTTAGTGATCAACAAGGAATTTCAATCTAAACTCACTAAATCAACAAGGAATTTCAATCTAGTCAATTACTCTAGGACTTTAGTAAGCTGAAAACCCTATATAAGATTCAAAACCCAGTCCTGCATTAGCAGTCTTTGCTTCTTTTCTAGTAGTAAGGATGCAAAGGGTGGAGGGGGCTATTTATTAGAGAATTTAATAAACAAAAATAGGGCTATAGTTTCCTACAATGGTAATTTTTTATTAGAAAATTTGATAAACTATAGCCTTATTTATTAGAGAACTTGATAAACTAGAATAGGGCTATAGTTTCCTATAATGGTAATTAGAGTATCACGGTAGTCACTTTGTGCATATTATGCGAAAATAGAAACACTATGTTTAATCTACCCTTTCCAGCACACTCAATTATCAGGGACTGAAACTGAGAAATAGCTTTTTTTTCTGCCAAGTTTTGTGATAAGCCTTTTCACTCAGTATAGTTTGAACTCCATCCTTCCATCATCGGTTTTTTTAGATGATGGTCCCATTTAGATGTTTATAATTAGCAATTCTTCTAGTACTTTTTGATACAGTCATAGATCTGATACCACATGACATTTTCTTCTTCGCTGGCCTTTTATCAATACTTTTATATTTAAATATACTAAAAGTAAAAAGATTGCATCATGATTTTTGTTGAAATTAATGTATAAAGAGAAATAGAGAATTAGAATTGATGTATTATTTATTGATGTATTGATATATTGTTATTTTTATTACAGTGATTCATGATTCCTATATATAGAAGAGGGTGAGTGTGTAGTAGGTAAGGAGTAGGTGAAGTGGAGGTGGTAGTGGTGTAGTGGGTTAGGTTTAGTGGAGTAGGTGAGGTGGTAGTGGTGTAGTGGGTTAGGTTTAGTGGAGTAGGTTTAAGTGGGTGAAGTAGGTGATAGGTTTTAACAAATTTTTTTTTTTTTTTTTACTTTTCTTCTCCACTTCAATATTTTATATTATATTAAATATTTTGTTCGCAATGTAATGGCCGAAAGGGACTCAATCCCTCATCAATTAAGAGGAATAAGGTGTTCTTGTCTGAGGCACATGCAAATCCCTCATACAATGTAAAGCTGCATTGGCTAGTACATCAAGCATATTGGGATACTGCTTGTTCAATACAATACACATATCTGTGAATGTCCTTAAGAAACCAAAGAACAGAATTAGGTCTCAACAAGAAATGTATTATATTTGACATCAATAATTCACTTAGTTGTAATGGAAAGTTCTCATCCACCTCATAATTAAGACCTTTAATGATGAATTGCTGACTTTTCCACGTAGGATCAAGCAATCTTTTTCCTTAATTTAAACAGTATATCTCATGATGGTAAAGTTCCTTGGAGAAATGTGCAGTAATAATAAGAGAAGATTGTCTAAACTTTAAAACCACATCGTCTGTCTTTAATATCCTAACCCCTTTTATAAAGGTGATAATGCAGTAAACATAGATTTGAGAATCATACTTACATTTTTATCAATGAGATTAAAGACTTTCCCTAATATTCTTTTCCTCGTACGGTCCTTTTCAGACACTTGTTTTGCAAGCTATGACAAACAGCAGATGTAAGATGCGCTTCCAAGTATGTTGAGATTCAAAGATCAATCAATGAGAATAAGCAAGCACTTCCGCATTAAGTAAACATTTATTCACATCCAAGAAAAATAAAAAAGATGAAAGCTAGAAGTAAATTCATACATATAAAAGTAACGTAAAGATGAAATAAATCTGTACCTGACTTTTGAAGCTGTCATATACAACAGCAAGGATCAAGTTGGTGACAAAGTAAACGCCCAATAGCACATAAAGAACAAAATATAGGCAATACCAACGTGAAGCCCTGCAAAGGACAAGATAATTATGGAAATCTCAGTATGTGGATGTTAAAAACTACAAAGATAATTTTAGGCAAAATGTTGGAAATATAAAATTGGGAGAATATAAAGAAAGAACAAAGTGTCATAATTTTCAGAAAACTTAAGAAATTTTTTAAAAAAAAAAAAAAAAAAAACATTCATAAACCATATATATATATATATAAAAAAAAAAAAGACCTCTAAAAAGTGCACCCTAGCATATTAGGAACATAGAAGAAAACACAAAATCATTTAAACAGCCCCCATTCTACCAGAAAAAGAGGAAAGAACATCAGACCAGTAGTTACAAGTACAAAATCATCAAAGAGGTTAAGTGTTAATTAAAAATCTCCAAGCAAACCAGCATTATTCAAAATCTTCCACCAAAGCATAAGAAAAATTTCTCAGAATGCCCACAAAACCAAAAATATATATAAATTATTTATATACATATATATAAGACGCATGTAAAAAGTAATATCAAATAGATAAATCTCGACCACTGATTCTTAGTAAATTATTATGACTCGAATTTTATTATTGTAGATTTGATATGGTATTTCATTTAATTGATGCATGTCCCTTGTGGAAAAAGACATACATCTAGGTTGATTTAGCTTACCCTCTTAGTTGATATACATACATCAATTACTTTTTACATGCATCTTACTTCACTCAAGCTTGCACTTTACGTTGTGCCTTGTGCTTAGGCTCTGGAAGACCTTAGGGCGTTGGTGCATCTTTAGCCTTTAGCAACTATGTCCTTTGTCTATCTCATGAATTTATAGGGATTAACCTCTACTGAATAACAGATCAAAGAGAAACCATCATATACAACTCAGTCTTATAAGTTCCATATAATATAAGCATAGTTCCGATTCCATAACTTTTGAACTTAAAATAAAATTGCAGAACATCTTGAAGTTGAGGTGAATAAGTTATGCAGAAGTTACCCACCCAAAAAAAAAAGTTATGCGGAAGCAGCTCATGGAGTGCCTGTGAATAAGTCACAAACCAGGTGATCTAGGACAAATGCCATTAATACACCTACTAGCATGAGCCAAATTAATATATGCAGATGAAAATTAAGTTTTTGGGGCTGATTTTAATTTGTTTTTAAAGGCTGGATGGGCATAAAATATGGAGATATTGGGTTTTCAAAGGGTGCATCAAAAGGATATAGTTTTGAGAATAAAGAGACAAGATTTTGGAGTTGTTCTGGGACTGTTCCAGAGGCTGTGAATGGTACCCTGTGAACAATAACTAGGAACTGTTATGTGTGGTTTTGTACGTAGTAGGGTGCTAGGGTTGAGACCGTGGTGCTAAATTGTTGGATAGGGTCTAGTACAGATTTAGTTTTGTGGTTTAGAGGTTTAAAGTGCAGAAAAAATAATGAAGAAAGGAGAATAAAAAAGTAGTTTTAGGAATCATTCTTAAAGGCCTTAGGCATTACAACAAAGGTTTTATTGATTGCATCAAACAATCTCAAAGAAGCATTTTTGTTATAATTAAAACTATTCTACATCGTATTAGAGGCATCAAATTGCTCTATATAACTTTAGAAACATTCTACACCAGCTAGGAGTCTAGGGCTAGGACTTTTAACAAGGAATTACTAAAACATTAGACTTATAAAGCCTATCGAAGACCAAATAAGACTCGTAATAAAACCCAATTAGATAACGTGACCCATATGGTTGGCCCACAGGTGATCCCTATAGCCCATGTCTGGAAATTTTGCAAATCACAGAAATATCCCTGAGATGTATAGATCATGTAGGTTTCTAACTAGATTAATACCTACTCTAAATGATCATAATATAAGACAACTAAGCCTATAAACTTAATTATACATGTTTCCAATAGATCCCAACTGAGTTCAGCTAGAGATTAATGAATTTCCAAACTTGAGTGTTTCCTTAATTTTGTTTTCCCTTGCTCTTCTTGTGGACTGCATCACCAGGCATAAGTGTAACTTGTCTCTAATACAGAAAGTTAATTAGTAAAGCAATTGGAATCAAATAAGCAGACAACAGAATGTTTAGTAAACTCTTTGACGTACATGAAACTTTTTCCATGAAGAACTCTACCAAAATGCATGTTTTAAAAGAACAGTGAAATTAATAACAATAAAGAGAATTAAAAAATGTACATAAAAATTGGAGGAAAAAAAAAACCCACGGCTTGACCCTAATAACAAATCAAACCTAACTTCTTAATTGTTTCAACTTAAACCCTCAACTTTTAAAATAGTATCAATTCTGACCATCTGTTAGTTATAACTAACGGAATAGGGGAAATTTAGACAATTTAAACACTTTTTGTCGGTGGTGCCGGATGGCAAGCTGGGGAAGTGGATGAGTAGCTGTGGATGGAGAAAAAGGGTGAAGGGATGACAGTGGATTGGGGAAGATGTGGGGTGGCGATGGACGATGGTAAGGGTGGGAGGTGGCTATCTGTGTCAACAGTAATGAAGAAAAAAAAAAGTTGTTAAATTTTCTAAATTGCCCCTTCTCCGAATACAAGCAAAAGGTTAGAATTGATATCATTTTAAACGTTGAGGGCTTAAATTGAAACAATTAAAAAGTTAGGGTTTGATCTGTTACCGAGGTCAAACCTTGGGGGTTTTTTTTTTTTGGTAATTTCCCAGAAAATTTGTTAACCCCACTTACTTGTATGCAGGAATCCAGACATCAGGATTGTTAGATGTGGTGAACAAAACAAACATTTGATACAATGTTGTGCCGAAAGAAGTAAAAACTGTCTTCCCCTGTTCGGTATCTTCAAACATGACATACGCTACCCAACTGGAGAACAGAAGAAATAAAAACCCAAGAGCCTGCACTAGAAGTAAATTAGACAGCACTAAGCAGAAATGATAGATATCACATAATCTAAATGGCACAAACTTTACCATAAATTACCATAAAAATTAACATAAATAAAACCACATTCTTCCACCAACCTATCAAACTGGAAAACAACATTCAGTTGCACTTGCAATGTTACAAAATAGTAGTACATCAGAAAAATGACCAAATGGATAAAGACGATAGAACAAAATACGAACCACAACATTGAAGTATGTGCTAAGCATTCCAGCCAAGATGAGGATGCTCTCCCGTAATTCCCTGGGGTCGAGAGAAAAGAGGAAAAAAGGACAATAAATCAAAGGTCAAAAGTGTATAAACCAAGAAAAACCACCAAGAAAGAAAGAAACTCAAGATACATAAGTCACTGTCATAATCAACTGCAACAAAATCAAATGTGATTTTGTGAGTTATAATGCCTTCAAAAAATAATAATTCGAATTAAGCAATGTTCCAAGAAGGTAATGGATTATTAACCATCTTGCTCACACTAAAGCATAAAAATAATTACCCATCATATTCTTTTGGAATTTATATTTTCCTATTGGGAAGAAGATAGAAAGTTAGGAGGATGAAGCAGTTTTCAATAGCACCAACAACTTACTCTCAAATAACTTCTAAAAAGAAAGTCACTCATAGATCAAACAAAAAATAAAAGTTTGCGGGTGATGAATGATACTTGAAACGTGCCAATAAACAGTACTTTACATGTTTTATCTTTTTATTTCCTTTTTTTTATTTTTTTAATTATTTTAATATAAGGAATGAGAATTCTAACAGAGAAAAAAGAGAAGTGTACAACGGAGCTGAGAATTTTACATGCATCTTTGGTTTCTTATTCCAAAATTTATTTTCCCCCAAAAAAAAAAGTAAAGAAAAGAAAAAGAGAAGAAAAAGACTGGCAAATCATGAAAATTAGAAAATAAAATGGCATTGGGCACATGCCAATAAGTAGAACTTCAGACATTTTGATCTGTTCTTTCTTTTCTCTTTATTTCTTTTTTATTTATTTAGGGAGTACAGATTCTAACAAAGTGAGAACAAGAGGTACAAAAAGGGTGAGTGCCATATTTTTATCGTCATATATGTTGTTCTGCCCACGCTTTAACAATAATTTTGTATGAGATTTGGTTCTCTTTATTAGAGAGAGAGAGAGAGAGAGAGAGAGGAGGGGGGGTTCTGAAAAGAAAAGAAAAAACCAATTCTAGATTTAAATACTATTGAGAAAGACCACACCAGTATATTGCCGGGTACAAGTTATTTACCTGTCAAACATTGCACCAGTAACCCTCAAATAACGAATGAGAAGATGGGAATGGTAAATTTCTATCAAAGAACTTTAAGATGATACAATTCTAATGACCTCAAAGGATGTCAAATCACATGCTATCTCATGCCACTTTCAAAAGGTTGAGGCGATCTGCTAATATTTTCACAAGCATTCTAGCAGACCTTCCACTTAATCAACTTCATTTAAATAGATACTCTCAGAATTTTGATTACATATCATGGGAAATCTCACCCAAAAAATAAAAATTACAATTAAAATAAAAAAATTATGCTTTCTTTTTTCCCCTTCAACTTTCAATGGTTTTATTATATCAAATGATGGAGTTTCTAATGATGAGAAACAACAGAGGGTGTAAAACTGTCACCAAGATGAAAGAGCAGATGGTATATGGTAGCTTAAAATTGTCATGACACAAGTTAAAAGACAGATAGAATCAGAATATATGTTCCTAAACTTAACATAGAAGATTAAACTAAAAAAAATGCATCAATGACTTCAGATTATATTTACAGAATGTGTTCTATTCACTCCATACCTAACATTGAGAATGAAAAAAACAACCCGGATGTAAGGTGCAATCCTAAGTGGAAGAGAATAGAAGGCCACTGGAGATAGATATAAAGCATAAACTATTAAATCAGCAACCAAGATTAACAGGAAAATGACCTGAAGAAACAACAAGACAACCCATCAGTAAGTAGACAACAATTTTACAAAAAATAAAAATAATGAAAATTGGAAGCAGTATACATGAAGGGGAAATATTAAGAAGTTCAACCAATCAATCAATATTGTAAACAAAGGACCAAGTACACTAAATCAAGAATGAACTAGAATAATACAAATGCAATTTTCAAAAGAGGAAATGCACCATGTGGTCTTAAATAGATGGAAGAGATGCCAGTTTGATTAATTATCATTTACATACTTAGCTTTGCTAATTTGCAAATAAAATGCCCAGGCTATTGATTGTATTGTGACCTTAATTTGTAGAACACACAATTCATACATAAAGCTTTCACCGGCATCAGCTTAGCAAGCTTTCCCACTCCAGGCCATCAAGTAATTGTATAATATAGTAAGGCCTGGCTGGACTGGCTGATTATTAGACCCATTCCTCGTGTTTGACATCTAGGTACTTAAGTAAGGGAGGAATCTTGTTATTGTTTAATTTGATCTTCTCATGGCATACCCTCTTCCACACATTACCGGTGGATGCTACAGATATATTAGATCACCACTAGTCCCACCCAATGTTACCAGAAAACGCCAACACCCTAGCGAATTCTGCATTGGTATGCACGTTCCGAAACATGGTATACTTCCGTTCCAAAACGATAAATTTAGTCATCTGAAGCGATCCCAAAAGTTTTTTCCAATATATTTCCTTAAATGTTACCTTAGGAGGAAAAAAATCAAATATATAAACCAAAATCTAAGGTGAGCTAAGTTTTGACAAGACAAAAAATTTTAAAAAATGGGTCATAATTTTCATAGAAATGATTTGCTACATGAAATATATATACATATATATATTATTGGATACCTAATAGTTAAAAGAAAATTATTCTAGAAATACCTTAAATTCTTAAATGTAATATATATAAGTCTACTCATATCGTACAACATTTTAGAGCACGTGGCGTATCTTATTCCCGTTCTATGTACCGGAACAATCTACGTTCTAAGTAACATAGGTCCCAACAACTTAAGTTGTTAGGTAATGAGTCCAACAATGTATATCAAGCTATCTAATACCCTAGCTTCTTAAATTCAGTCATTTTTTGCTTCTTTGTATCCTTACTCGTACATTTTCAATTTCACATTACAGAATTTTGAATTCATAATTACTGACAAGCTAAGTGGAACTGACACTTGTAGGAAGGATATTTCAAGAGTAGTCATATGCTGCGTATTTCAAGATAAGGCTCCCACTAAATTAGAAGCAAAAAGGTCATACCCAGAACATAAGGCTCCCACTCATAACAAGGTCTGGGAAAGGTGGTAGGTAGTCATCTTCATGCATAGTCATTTTAGGTTCATCAAGTTATAACAAGAATGGTGTGTGGAACTTGCTCAATATCTACTATCAATCCATCCGTCTCATAGTTTTATCTGAATTAGCTTTAATGCAGAGGTCATGAAATTTAAATTGTGCATGCAAACACACTAATTCATGTCAGGAAAATCAGTATCTCATTATATACTATAGCCTTTGTTGTTATCCTGGAGAACCTCTTGTTTTAAGAATTTAACAATCCGTTTAAGAAAGAAGTAAAAGTATGCAGGTAAAGGGTTCAAATAATGACTTCGTAAGCGAAGTGTTGGAACCACTTACCTTTAATTGATTAAGATGACTTTTCCAGTAGAAATGAAATCCTTCATAAGAAATGGGAAAGAAGGTATGTATCATGAGAATGATAAGAGTTACACCCTGCACGAGATGTAAAAAATCACATAATCATAACAACAATAACAACAACAATAATAATACTAACAACAACAACCATAACAATAATGACGACAACCATGCTGCTACTGCTGCTGCTGATGATGATGATGATGAAATCAGGATGTGCAAATCTAGTTATCTAAGCTGAGAACTTTTGATAATTAGTTCTAGAAATCTTGCTATCATGATATTACATAATTCTGGATTATTTCAATCCACAAACTTCACATATTTCTGAATGACCTTGTAATTCAGCCACTAGTGCAACTATACACAAATTGACATTTTATTATTTAATTACGTAATACAGCTGAGATTGTTTAACAACTCCGCCGGTCCCAAGCCCGGGCAAAAAGGAGGGTTGTGTGTTAGGTAACCAACAGCCAATACGTAAAAAAGAAGCTCAGATCCCTTATGACAATGAATCCCACTTTGAATCGATTAAACACTAGGCCGTTCCCCTCAAGTGACGCGTTGCGCCTGCCTCCGGGTGTTTCGAAAAGTGAGTAAGGGGTGCCACATCGAAGCCTAAGTGCGATGAAAAATGGGTAAAGGTTTCCGCATTTTCTGAACAAGCGCGAGTAAAAAAGTTAGTCCAAGACTATAGGTTTAGGGTAGCCACATGGAATATAGAAACTTTAACTAGTAAGACTATGAGATTGGTAGATGTTATGATTAGGAAGAGAGTTAGTATAGCATGCATACAAGAAACTAAGTGGACGGATGAGAAAGACATGAAAATTGAGGATACAGGGTTCAAACGGTATTATAGTGGCAAAGATAGACACAGGAATGGGGTAGAAATAATAGTTTCCAAGGTTCTTGTGGAAAATGTAGTGGCGGTCATTAGGAAATGTAATATGATTATGTTAGTTAAACTAGTTATTAGAGGGAACATAGTGAACGTTATTAGGGCATACGCCCCCCAAGTAGGATTAGATGATCAAACTAAGAAAGATTTTTGGGAGCAAATGGATAAGTTCTTATAGGAGATACCCATAGGAGAGAACCTAATTATAGGTGGAGATTTCAACAGCCATGCAGGAATAAATAAACTAGGCTATGAGATGGTGCACGGTGGATATGGTTTTGGTGATAGAAATGAGGTTGGAGAGAGTATTTTAGATTTTGCGTTGGCTTCTGACCTAGTAGTTGCCAATACTATGTATAAAAAAAGGGAGGAGCATTTGATAACCATTAAGAGTGGGTCAGTTAAAAGCCAAATAAATTACATTTTAGTAAGGAAAGTGGACCGTCTAAAATGCAGTGACTGTAAGGTGATTCCTGAAGAGAGCTTGACGTCTCAACATAGGATTTTGGTACTAGATTTATATTTTGAAAAGCAATACCAAGTTAGGAAGGATAGTGGGCGTCGTAAGACGAGATGGTGGGACCTAAAATGTGATAAACTAAAAATATTTAAGAACAGAATGGATAAGGAAGGTACTTGAGACTTGGAAGATAATACTAACAATATGTTGAACTCAATAGCCAATTGTATGAGGAGAATCTCAAGGAATGTTTTTGAAGAGTCGAAAGGAAAGGGACCCGACTCTAGGGAAACTTAGTGGTGGAAGGAAGAGGTTCAAACTGTAGTTAAGGCGAAAAAAGAGTGCTTTAAAAAGTGACAGAATGATGAAACTGAGAAAAACCTGAAGAGCTATAAATTGGCTAATAAGGAGGTCAAGAAAGCAGTGAGAAAGGCTAAGTTGAAAGCTTATGATGACCTATACACTAACTTACATAGTAATGAGGGAGAGAAAAGAGTATACAAACTTGCTAAGATAAGGGAGAGAAAAATAAGATATTTTAATCAAGTTAAGTGCATCAAGAATGAGGATTCTAAGCTATTAGTGAAGGATGAAGAGATTAAGGAGAGGTAAAAGAACTATTTCGAAAAATTGTTAAATGAGGAACATGGAAGTACGTTAATAAAAGAGAAAATAGCCAGTAATAAAGAAAACCAAGACTAAAGGTTCTATCGCAAGATTAGGAACTTTGAAGTGGAGATTGCACTTAATAAGATGAAATCGAATAAGACTTTAGGACCCAATGATATCTCTATTGAAGCTTGGAAGTGTTTGGGTAAGAAGGAGGTTGCTTGGTTGACCAGGTTGCTTAGCAAGATTTTGTTGATGAGGAACATGCCAGACAAGTAGAGAAAGAATATTTTAGTGTCAATCTATAAGAAAAAAGGAGACGTCCAGAATTACAACAACTATAGAGGAATCAAGCTAATGTGTCGTGTAATGAAAGTGTGGAAAAGGGTGATGAAACATTGATTACGAAATATAACAGAAGTGTCAGAGAATCAATTTGAATTTATACCTAGCAGGTCATTAATGGAAGCAATCTATCTTTTAAGGAGAGTAATAGAAAAGTATAGAAAAAATAAAAGAGACATTCATATGGTGTTTATCGATCTTGAAAAAGCATATAATAGAGTATCTCAGGATATAATCTGGTGGGTGTTAGAGAAGAAATGGGTGACAAAAGATTACATTGATGTAATTAGGGACATGTATGAAGGGGTGGTGACCACTATTAGATCGCATGTTGGAGAGGCAATGAATTTCCAATTACTGTAGGGTTACACCAAGGATCTACCTTAAAGTCCTTATTTTTTTGCTTTAGTTATGGATGAGTTGACGAGAAATATTCAAGATGATGTGCCATGATATATGTTTTTTGTAGATGATATTGTGTTAGTGGATGAGACTAGAGAAGGAGTTAACACAAAGTTGGAGATTTGGAGAGAACCACTTGAATCTAAAGGATTTCAGATAAGCAGAACTAAGACAGAATACATGGAGTGTAAATTTAGTAATAAAAACAATGAAAACAGAAGAGAAGTGAAGATTAAGAACTAAGAACTATCTAAAAGTGAACATTTTCGTTATTTAGGGCCGATTATCACAACAACGGGAGAGATTGATACGAATGTGGTCCGTAGAATTAGGACGGGGTGACTTAAGTAGAGAAGTGCGTATGGGGTACTATACGATAAACGAGTACCCACTAGACTAAAAGAAAAGTTCTATAGAACAGCTATTAGACCATCAATGTTGTATGGGACGGAGTGTTGGGCAACCAAGAAACAATATGTAGATGAGTGTTGCTGAGATGAGGATGCTAAGGTGGATGTATGGCAAGACTAGAAAAGGCAAAATTAGAAATGAGTATATTCGGGAATAGATAAGAGCAACACCGATAGAAGATAAGTTGAGAGAGAATAAATTGAGATGGTTTGGTCATATTCAACGAAAACCAACAGAGGCAATAGTGAAAAGATGCGATGCAATGACGGTAAGTAGAAGTGTTAGGGAATGAGGTAGACCTATATCGACGTTGGCTAGCGTAGTAAATAGAGATATGAATCTACTTAATTTGACTAATGAAGTGGCCTTTAATAGAGCCGTGTAGAGAAGAAAAATTTATGTAGCGGACCCCATTTGATGGGACTTAAGGCTTGGCTTGATTTGGTATTATATAAGCGTTATATATAGAGGTGGGTGCCATGGCGTGTCATGTCATGTTATTATGGGTTTCATGTCAGAATTCCCTCAACACTAACCCTACTCGTTTATTTTTGGTCTTATTATGTCATATCCTCTTAGGTTTGTGTTAGGTTTTTATCGCATTAACATGTCATGGAAAAAATTTACACCCATAGTTAAAAATACCAACTCTATGGAGACATAAATTTTTTTTATCACACAAGGTAAAGTTCATGAAACTAATCTCCACTAGATAAATTATTCATAAAAATATTTAATTTCAACTCAATTCCATTTCCTCAATTTCAAAAACTAACGCCTATTTTTATTTGTTTTTTGTTTACAAAATTGACTCCAAAATAATAAACAAAAATATCATATTATCTCAAATAGAAAACATAAACGCTATATTGACCTCAAAATCCTGTTTTATGTTTTGTTTTATTCAACTAGATGGGGTTTACATATGGGTTTCAAACATGTCATAGCACCCCTTAATGAAAATAACATTAAAATGTGTAACTAATTCTCCATGAAATGGGTTATGTCAAATTTGAATTATGTTGGTTTGATACTAACCCAACTTGTTTATTTTAGTGTTATAGCTTTGTGTCACTTTTGGGTTCTTTGTCAAGAACTAGCCGACCTTAACTTTGTGCCGGTTTGTATCGTATTAACGTGTCGTGTTCAAAATTCCCACTCTAAATTATATAGGTTATATATACTAAGTTCATATTGAAAATGCCATCTTTCTTTATTTCTCCTAGTCCATCTTGAGATGACAAAATTTCGAGTCTTCCAAGCCCCTAAAAGAATGACCCATCCAACCATATCAACAAGATATATCACCAAACGGATGCTAAAGGAATGGAAGACTATCATTAATGAATCCTTGTAATATTTCTTCATGTAATAATTAGCAGGGGCAAGAGAGTGGTTGGGATGGGGCGTAGATTTAGTTCACGATCTTGACATCTCAAAGGTAATCCAATGCACAAGACTCCAACCACTATGGGATCTGGGAAGGACAAACCATCTCCACATATCAAGGAATCAATAAAACTAAAATAATGTTGATAATGTATAGTAACAAAACAAGACAACGAACAAATACATCTTTGTTAGTCTGTGTCAAATGGACTCTTCTACATGTATGAAGCTAAGTAACCAATTTGATGAGCAGGCACGGGATCGGGAGCAAAAGAGCGAGAGCATTTTTTGAGAAAATACTTAGAGAGCAGGAATTTGGAATGCCTTCAAAGCGCACATATTTGTATTTTAAAATACATACTACCTCTGTCCCAAATTCTTTGTCTAGCACAGGAAACAAGAACTTAAAAATAATGTATTTTTGTGCCAAACTTCCAATTTTTTTAAAAAAAATTCAGTACAAGATTATTTTTAAGTTCTTGTTTTTTGTATCGGACAAACAATTTACAATGGAGGGAGTATATATTTACATCAATATATTTTAGTTAGATTTCTTATATTTTTTATCCATCAATTGTTTGTAACCAAATAAAAAAGCTACTGGCCTATGTTACATACCCCTATGGTTTAAGGTCATTTCCAAAACTCAAAAATAAAATTAACATAAACAATGAGAAATGTACCATCATATTTAACTCTATCCAAATTGCTTTCATGACAAAACTTCTTCACAAGCTACAAATTACTTAAAAATTATACACTTAGGAGGAGTTTCAGAAAAATCTCAGTGATTTGATTGCCCATCAAAAGACGTCAAGAATAGAAGTCACGCAAACAATTATTTTTTTACAGTGATTTCAAGTTCAGAAACATTTAAATGTGTCCCGTTAACGCAGTCTTTAACAGTCATAACACTAGCATTGCTTATGTACCTTTAGTTAGAAGTCATGCCACCTAATAGTTAGAATCTCCATCCATTAATTGTTAAAATGAACTTTTACCTCATAAACAAGAGACTCTGAACCAGTTAAATATGGCAACTGTCCAAGAAAGTAGTACTCTCTATTACTGCAAGAATATGCAGAATACTCAGCACACCACAACGGCTTCTGCAATGATTAAACAAACCAAGTATAGGTCCCTATGACAATATATAGAAGGTAAGAAATAAAACACAGTGGTAACATAAACTATACTAACCTCAAGGAAATTTAGAACAATCAAGGCAAAGAAATTAAGGGCCCAAAGTAAATCAAATTGAACAAATATGAAGTAAAACTTTGTTGCAATTTCATAGCTTGACTGATCAAGAATTTGCTCAGGAAGACCAACACCATCTTCAGCCTGAAAATTGCATTTTTAATCAATCCAAAGGAATAACAATTCCTCAAGTAAAAAAGGAAACAAAAAAAACTCTCAATATACAAGAAGTCACCATGTGTATTTAGCAAATAGTTTTAGGACAACAGATCTATCCCTAAAGTTATTTGTAAACAATATTACTAGGATTCTAGTATGAGGAACAAAAATAAAGATGTAGCATGCCACGTTCTGTAAAAAGGCCATAAGCCAGGAAAAACCTCGTAAAAATCAAACCAAACTAGACCTTGTATCCCACTCAAGTGCAGTTGACTGCATGAATCCTCTTTCACCATTTTGCTATGTCAAGGGTGTATGCTCAGTTAAACAATTAAATACATTCATATCTTTTTTTACTATCGCATCCCATGTCAACTTGAGATTTCTGACAATCATAGGGACCTCCCATGCCACTAAAGTTACACTGCCCTCCCCAGTCAGAGTTGCCAGCCAAGCAGTGTTAACAGTAGTGTTGAAATGATGTAAATACCCTTAAAACATAAAACATAATAGTATTAAAAACAAATAAATATGTGAAAAGGCTATAATGCCCTTGCCTTAACCAACCCAAGCCCCCATAATCCACAAAAATCACATAAAAAATTTCCACCATTAACCAACCCAATCCCTCACAATCCACCTCCCATTTTCAATCGCCCGAATGAATTAGATATATGTCAACCCATTGCAAATTGTTACCTTCCCAATACTAAATACATTCAAAATACACAAGCCCCTCATTCCCCTTACTAACATCACTTGTTGAAACGAAACTTTGAAAGAATAAAGAGCAGCAGACAATGAAACGTGACTAAAAGCAAAGGAGTTATGTGGGTGTCATGGCCTGAACTGTTTCTTTGAACAATGACAGATTCCTGAAGCTTTGCTAATTAATTTTTATTACTCTCTCTGTCCCAAAATAATAGTCCCTTTTGGAAAATCTAACTTTTTTTGGTAGTACAATTATTGCATTTAAAAAAAATTGATTTTCCAAAATTACCTTTTTGATAGTACATTTTTTGAGAATATCAATGTCATAATTGTACTTTTTATATTGTTTATTAATTTAAAAGAAGGACAAAATAAAAAATTTATATTATTTTTGTACTTGATTTTGATTTTTTAAGAGGGACTAATATTTTGAGACAATGAAAAATGGAATAAGAGACTAATATTTTGGGACAGAGGAAGTAATCATCTAGGGATTTTCAAGCCCTTTAAAAATATATCATCTCATTATGGAATCTACAAACCCCCATTACCAACGTCATCATCTCCAAGATCAGCTTCTTGTTGGGTATGATCAAGAACCATAGCAGGTGTAAACTTTTTTTCTCTCTCTCTAACCTATGTGTGTGTATAATTAGATCCCACTGCCATGTCTGCTTCTTGCCCAAACTACCACCACGAAGACCCCTCGTGACAGCGATTACCAGACACAACAACACTGTCCAATGCCGCATACCTCCACCTTTTTGGCTTTTACACCCTTCCAATATTTAATTTGATTTGATGGAACCAAAATTAAGAAGTCAATTTCATTAGGGACAGAAAATCCCAAATTGGGATACAAGAGCTAAAGTTGAAAAGATTACAATCTCAAAATGTCATAAACTGATTTATAGACTCAAAGACTCAACTAACACATATGTTATGCTGGTAAAAGATAACAACAACTCTAAATCTTAGCACATCACAATAGTGCAATTAAACTACCCGAGCATGTGTATATGTATGTTTTCTGCATGCACTTATTTTGTTATAGTAAAGTATGACTTATAGTCTGGGTGAACTCTGTGATTAATTAAGAAATCGACAATGCTACGCAACTCAAATTTTGTGGCTTAAAAGTGACTCAAATAGTCAAAACGATATCATTTTAAAAACAATATAAAAATAGCCAAAACGACGTAGTTTTGGCCTTAAGAAATATATCGATAATAATTTATCGAGTTTCCAATTCTTATATTATATTTATACACACAATGACGGCATAAAATAGATAGTAAAGTTACCGATCGTAAGCAACAAACACTTTGAAACAGAAACAAAGAAGAATAGAGAGAGAGAGAGAGAGAGAGACCAGATCAACAAGAGCAGCGGCCTTCTGGTAAGGTGAGCCATGAGCGATGGCGTCTGATCTTCGAGGGAAGTGCGATGACCGATCTCTCCTCCCACCACCACTGCTTTCTCCCCCAAGAAAAGCTTCTTTATCCATCTTCTTCTTCTTCAGATGTGGGAAAGGTCGAGCACACACAATTGAGAGTGAATTTAGAGATCAGAACTAAAGAGAGAGAGAGAGAGAGAGAGAAGATTGGTTGCGGAGAAAGGAGGGAGTGCTTGATATTTCAACATTTGGAGGCAGGAGAGAGAGAGAGAGAGAGAGAGAGTGGTGTCACACCACAGTTGCTTTTGCGAGTATTGTGAATGACGAGATTGTCAAAAAAACGAGAAACGGTGGTTGGGGTTGAGGCGGTGGGGCAGTGGGGTATTATACTGAATAGTACGGGATAATGATATGCGTGTCGGCAATGCATATGTGAGGTGCAAAATACGATTTTTTGAACTCGAGGGTATATTACAAAGTTTTTTTTTTTTTTTATATATTTTTTTACATGTATGCTTAAAATGGTTTGATAACTTGATTTAATACTTAAAATTAAATGTATTAAATGATAATTAATTAAATTTATTTGATATTTATAATTAAGGATGAATTATATTAATGGTCATTATAGTTTAGGTCATGTATCACTTGGACTCTCTTTTTAATTGTAATGTATTTGACCTTGAATTTTGAATTTTATTTCAAATAAGGACAATTGAAAATGTCATTATTCAATTTTAAAGGCAAAGTAGTTAATTTTATAAAATACAAACTAATTTGATAAAAATAAATGTCAAACAAATATTTTTGAATTTTTAAAAGTTATTTGTACCTACTAAAGATAAAATCTATGAAGCATAAATACGGACACGGTACACGACAATTTTCAAAAAATGAGGACACAGACACGGCAGAGACAAGGCGAATATTTTTTTTTATAGATATTTTTATGTATTGTGTAAATTCATATTACATTCATCTCAAATCAAAATTAACAAACACTAACTTAGTAACATTAATTCAAGCTTCAAGTAAATCCAATTTCTTGCACGTCTTCATCATCATTAGCATCACTATCTTTTTCTCCATTTGCACCTCCAAGATAAGGTAAAAAGTTATTTTTAAATATATTTCTTATTTTTATCTTAGGTATTATTTTTATTAATAATATTTTTAATGTATTTATATAATTTTTTTATTATTTTTAATTGATATATATATATATATTATAAATAAAAATATATAACAAATAAGGAATAATAAAATATGTTAAAATAAATAAAGAGAAAAATTAGATATTTTATTTTATAATTTTTTTATTATATATGATTTAATTAGATTTCTTTTAAATAATTGGATGATTTCTTTTATTTATTATATGTTAAAAAGTTAAGGAATAATAATATACAAAAATTATATTATATGTGATATTTTAAGAAATAACAATTAAATATTTCATTATACATGATAAAAATTATAATTTATAAAATCTCCGCTGCAAATCCCGAGTGGTAAGCCCAAAAATCTCCAACTCAATAATCCTTTAAATACTTCAACTCTAATCGCCAGTAGATTTGCTCCACCTAAAAAATAAATTAATAGAGAGAGAGAGAGAGAGAGCAACGAAGGTCAGCGTCCGAGAAGATCGAAGGCGAGAGAGCAAATCGAAGCAGATCTAGATCTCTCTCTCTCCCCTCTTTACGATTCCTACAACTAAGATATGGACACGCGTGTCTCTCATTTACGATTCTTGCAACCAAGATATGGATGCGCGTGTCTTTACTGTGTCCCTTACAAAAAGTTCATTAAATTAAAGGGACACGTTATCTGGCATATCCTGTACATGTCCTCGGCGTGTCCGCGTGTAGAACACCGCCATGACACCGATTTTGGAGTGTCCATGCTTCATAGGATAAAATTATGTAAAATTAATAATTTTTTTAGGCATTTATTTATTTATTTTACCCAAAAAAAATTTATTATGTGTTTTGATAATGATTATGTAATTGGTGATTGTTTTATTTTTATTAAATTAGTCTCTATTTTTTCAAAAGTCAAATATGGCGATAACTTTGATATCATTATTAAACCAATCTATTAAATCAAAAAATTCAAAACTAAAAACATTTTATATATTAAATATATCGATTATATATTAAAACCCTAACAATCACCCATTACATGATCATCATCCAAACACATAATAAAAATTAATTTGGTAAAATAAATAAATAAATAAAAGATTTATAAATTTTATATAATTTTATCTTTGGTAGGTAGAAATTATTTTTTAAAATTCTAAAATATTTTTTTGACATTTACTTTTGTCAAGTTAGTTTATATTTTTATCAAATTGGCGACTTTGCCCTTGAAATTGAGTAATGGTATCTTCAATTGTTCTTATTTGGAACAAAATTCAAAATTCAATGTCAAATGTATCACAATTGAAAAGTTAGGAACCAAAATGACATGAGCCCTAAACTATAGCAACCGTTAGTGTAATTCACCCTATAATTACTGTCATTTAAGAATTTAAGTACTTTTTAAAATATAAGTTAAAATTTAAATAAAATTCAAGTCATATAAAACTTACTTAATTCTAACTGCATTTATAAATACTAAAAATAAATGTCGATATATATTATTATAAACTCACTGCTATCACCACCACCATCATGCCACCGCTACTGCCACCATTACTACTATCACCACCATTACTGCTACCACCATAACCATCACTACCACACCGCCACCATCCCGCCACCGATGTCACCACTACCTTCATCAGCATTTGTCATTGTTGCCATAAGCACTATCATCATTTTACTACTACTATCATCACTACTGCTACCGCCACAACCACCATCAACACTACCACTATCACCATCACCACCACCATCACAATAAAAAAAAATTAAAATATATACAATTTAAAATTAATAAATTTTAAATTTGATTTTATACATATCAAACAATTTATTTTCAGTTCCGCGCTTAAATTTTTATTAAATAGTTTTTTAGCTTAAAATATTCAACGTTCAGATTTCAATAATTAATTTTCAATTTTCAGTTTTCAATTTTCAATTTTTAATTTTATCAAACACCACCTTAGGGTATATATTAAAAAAATATTTAACCAGTATAATTAACTTCATTTATATAAAAAGTAGCAAAAATTTAAAAGTTATTTAAATTATAATAAATATTTTTTACAATACAACCAAATATCATTTTTACTTTCTCTCTGTTTTACTATTTTATCTTCTATTTTTTTTAATATCTTTTAACATTTGTCCAAATATAATATGTTTACATTACACTATTTCAAATGATTGGCTTAAAATTTTTCATCACTATAAATAACTTAAGTTTTTGATGTATCTTATCAAAATATATGTATTTGGTTGACTTTTTAAAATATTTTTTTAATTTTATAAATTAGTTTGGTGGGGAAAAAAATCAAACACTAATTATTTTCATATGATTTTTTCTTCTTTAAAACAAAAATAATTTTAAAAATTTTAAAAATATTTTTATATTTAATTTCATCAAATTAATTTTCAATTTTTAAAAATAAATTCAAAAATAAGTTTTAAAAATATAACCAAACAAAAATATTTTACAACTAGATTTCTTTGCATCAATACCATAAAGGTTGGCAAGGCCCGCACCATCCTAGAACCGTTAAAAATAATAGTGCACTGCATGATTTTTTTTTTTTGTATAAATTTTTTCATCACACTACATAGTGATTTAAGTTATCTACGACACTAAAGATGGGTATTTTTGTCTACACAAATCAAATTATGAGAAATGTTATGCACTCCAAGGGAGCTTCTATATACACACACCTAATCTCTTCTTTGCACATCCTTTTCACTACACACACCCAAAAAATTAATTCCTAATTAATTTCCTCACTACACACACGGTGCGTTCCAAATGTACCCTCATACACACACACACACACCCGACCCCAAATACACACACCTATTGAATCTGAAGCACATCTTCAACCTTGAAACATTCCATCACATAGAAGCTGAAGCACCTATTGAAACTGAAGCACATCTTCAGATTTTCATTGAAGCATTCCATCTCATTACCGTGTGCAACCCAGGTGTGCATCCCGTTGAAGCATTCCATCCACGAAGCTACATCCCGTTGAAGCATTCCATCAGATTTTTAATCCTCATTAGGTGAGTTTACTTTTGAATCATCATTCCTATTCAATCCTCATTTTCATCTGTAATGTAGAGTTTTTCACTTGGAATGTAGAGTTTTTGATTTGGAACCGTCGTTCGGAACTGTTTAACCGAAATATAGCAATGTGTTCGGACGTAGGAATCTGAAAAAATTCAATATGTTCATCAGTAGATTTCCAAAAATATTACATTGTTTCGATAGTCAACTTCCGAAAAAATTGAATTTGGACAACAGTCAACCTCCGAAATTATGTTTTTCTTTCGTATTTCAACTTTTGAACAGAATATGTACTTTCAATTGTGAACTTCCGAACAGTTTTTTTTTCCCCCTTCTTAATTAATACACTTAATTAAAACACTTATTATAATTTAAAACACTTATTATAATTTACACACACTTATTATAATTTTACACACACTCTCATTAATTTTACACGCACTCTCATTATTTACACCACTCTCTTTATTTACACGCACACTCATTACACACTTATTAATTTTTGCAAATAATATGGATTCTAAACATCAACAACGTGTCCCACCTACTGCTTCAAATAGACGACGTCGTGAATTGGATGTAGACCATGAACAGGGACGAGGACGTGGGCGAGGACGAGGTCAAGATTGTGGTCGAGGTCGTGATCCAGTTTCGGTAGAATATGATATTCCCAATGCCAGTCAAAGTCGGGGCCGAAGCCAAAGACGAGTTGAAGGTTATGATATGCCTGACATTGCTGTGGAGGATACCTCCCTACCTGATTCTCCTCCTGTCCAGGAAGAGTACCTTACTCATGCTTTTCCAGGTGGACCGACTGATCCGTCAATACTGCGGAGTTTCAATAGTCATGTGGCTGCAGCTATTTGGCACAGGAAGGTAAACATTCCTCAGTAAAAGTGAAATTAATTTGTATATGAGTTTTTTTTTTTTGTGTGAGTGTTGTATGGTAGTGTGTAATGAGATATCATTTGTGTTGTAGGAACGAGGGCCCCTAAAGTGTCATAATCACTCTTCTAAGATCCTTGCATGGCCATGGTGGTTAGTAGAGAACAACACCAGATTCAAAGCCATTATTGAGCAGTCTGGACTATCACAGTTAGCTCGTTGCACTTATCGGTTCGTCAACAAGATTCTAATCTCTAGTTTTGTT